AAGACCTAGCCATATGTTGCTGTCTTTCAGCACAGAATAGGGAGTCCTGGGGAAAGAGGTCTAGTGGTAGACCAGATATCCTTTTCGGACCTGAAGAAAGTCCTTAAGCTTGTCTACCCACAGTACATTTTGCCATCTAGGGGCCTGTTGGGATTGCCAGCTGTGAACTTAAGGCACAGTCGAGGTGGGAGGTGACATCTGGAGCCTCCAGGTCTCTCCTCTATGTTATAAGTCTGTCTTCTTTGCAGTTACTGTGATATATCTTGTGTCCCTGGAAATGGAACAGAACAGTGGCTCTCCACATTTGCTTGTGGCAAATACTGACAGCAAAAAAAAAAATTCACTTTACACTGGATCTGCGAGTCTGCATGCGCAAAAATATCTCACAAAGCTTATTACTTACCCTTGTTAAGAGCAAGGTGTTCAGATAGCCTCTTTTTATTTTTTCATGTATGCGTAAGGAAGAAGTAGGGGAGGGATAGGGAAGAGGAGGAGGTAGAAAGAAATAAGTTTATTTCCCCGTCCACTCATAAGATCCGGACCAACACTAGAGAAAAATAAATGTAAAATGTTCTCAGAGTTCAGGGTTTCCGAGTGAGTCTTTTTAGTGCCATCTACTGAGCATTCTGGGTATTACAAGCATTTGTGTTCGATTCTTTACTCTGGCCCTGAGATTTCTTTCCCCCCTTTTCTTTTAAGAATATTTCTCCCAAAGCAAAAAGGCCTCTCAGTTTAAGGAGAAGTTTAAATGAATGGCTACCACACGCAAAAGCTCTAGTCTTAATCCTCAAACCAAATACTTCATATCCAGTCCTCGAAAGGGGGAGTTTTCAGGTTACAGAACACATCAGCACTGTGGCCTTGGGAAACAAAACCTTAAATTTAGAACACTGAATTGCTATTGTCTATTCAAACAATCAAGAATCAATAATCCATTATCAACCCCGACTATAATTTTGTTCTACAATAACACATGAGTCCTCCTCCTCCCCCCACCCTAGCGTGTTCCAAAAACAATTCAAAATACTGTGGGACACAATACTTTTGTCACACAAAGTAGAATACAGAAATCTCATTGGCTCCTCTGTGGGTGATGCAGAATTTCCATGCGGACTGGTCACTGTAACACAGAGGATTTAAATTTCGGTGGAAAGGAATGTTTCCTACTTGCCAGCAGAGGTAGTTATGGTTGCTTCATTTCAGAGTAACATGTGTGTGTGTGCTTTTGACCCAAACCTGTTTGGAAGGACCTTTGCTATTCTTCCACAGTCTGCTTAATCAATCACAGAAGAGCCCCAGCGGTGTGTTTGCAAGTGAGTCTGGGCTCAGCCAGCCATGCCGCTGGGCCTCTTCCACCACACTCTTGCAGCTGAGACACAGGTATTTCGATTTCACCGGAACATCTGTGCCAACGTTAAGACAGTAAGGAAAAGAAAACCGCTTACAGCAGACTGCCGCTGCTCAAAATTGGAGATTTAAATGTCTCCATTTGGAAGAGGTTAAACGGTTGAAAGCCTGCAAAGCTTCCTATCTTTACACTGACTATAACAGCTGGCTTCTTCCTCCTAAAGGACTTCGGGTTCATCCGTTTTAGAAAGCCCAGGAATGGCCTGACTCGGAGATGAATAAAGAAACAAGGCTTGAAGACGCAGTCCTGTAAGGCCAGCCCTGAAGACGCAGAGACAGGAGTGTTAAGTCATGCCATCCTTGGCTGATAGGGAGCCTTGTCAGCCTGGGCTGGAGAAGTTGACTCAAAACAAACAAAATAACAACAACAGAAATCGCAGTGAAAGCGTGTCCCATATAATAATCGCCCACACAGACTGGCAGGGTCCAGAAGAGCCACCCTTGCCGTGACGGTACATTATCAAATGTAAGTCGTTACTAACTGTCCAGGGAAGCCAGAGGCCCTTCAGTTTCCAAATGCTCTTTTGGGGAGAGCTGAATACGATTTACTAAGCATACTCATAGGATTAATGTTTCAATAACAAACTCAGGAAAGGAGCATGCAGCCCAAAGGGCTGATGTCTCTCCCAGAGATGACTGATGGGCCCAGTTTGCCTGAAAACTCGTCAAGTGGTGGTTCAGGAACTCCAGACACTCACAAACCTTTCCTTGTTCTGAAGAATTCTCTGCTATGCTATCGCCTTCGTTTGTTTTGTGAGTCAGAAATGTGAGGTGTGTGTGTGTGTGTGTGTTTGTGTGTGTGTGTGTGTGTGTGTGTAACATTCTTCCCAGGATTCAAGACACTGCCCCAGGAGGGAGCTGACAAGCAGTCATTCATCAAAATGGCAAGATGTACAATTTATCTTGCACTGAATCCTTGCACAGTAGTGAATTCTTTGGAGTTTATTTACAGAAAGCAACTATCGAATTAAAATACCAAGTAGCCTAAACACTAGCCTTGCCACATTTCAACATCATCAACAAAGTCCAGCTGAGTGACAGCCAGCTAGGGTTCATGTTCTCCGTGCTAATCAGACAGGAGAGCAACACTCGCCTGTCCTGACACGTGGCCATGACAAGGTGCAGTGCTCAAAGCTCCCCATCGCTGCATCATAGGCCTCCCCTCACCCCTCACCCTTTACCCCTCTGGCCTTGCTGGTCCCTTCATTCAAGACCAACCTAGACAATATCATGGGATTCTGCTTAAAGCCAAGTCAAAAGCTGCCCTCTGCCTGGTTAGTTTCTACACATGGATGAGATGAAGGGGAACTTGCTGGCCGCTGGTTAATAAACTCCCGTTCCCTCCCCGCCATGTCACGGGGCTGAGCTTCTCACAGGCCCATACGCTAACAGGAAAACACACACGGAAGCCAGGGTGAGAAGAGTAGGGATTATTTCCGATGCTCACTTTCTCAAAGCAATGCTTGCCATGGGGAGGCGGGTACACAATTCATTTGTATGGTACATTAATTGGATGCACATCTAGCTTCATTCAGAGATAATCTCAGCCAAACCTGTCCCAGCTCTTTTCTAGCCTCCCCTCTCTTCCCCATTCCTCTCCTCTCCCCTGCTCTCCCTCCTCTAGGGTATGCGCATACACAAATAAATTTAGCATTTCCTGCCCTAGAGGAGCCTCTGGTCCAGATGGGAAGAAAACATAACACAAAGAAACAAGAGAAACTGGATGAAACAAAGTAAAACCAAGAGCTGAGTTCTCCGTGGGGACTTTAGAGATGAACTATAAATCCCAATAGTCCCAGCAACTGTAACAATCAGCCAAAACAGAGCCATTGTGCAAATCTGCAGAAGCAAGCTAAGGAACTAGAAGTTGACCCTGCAATCGTAATGTAGACACCAAACCCGCAGGAGAAACTGCTCAATGGGGAACGTGAGTCAATTCTCATCCCCAGCTTATCTTTTTTACCAGCTTCCTACAGTGATGCTAGACTCTCTTCTCATTCTCACTGACCGAGAGCTCCTCTGGACTGAAAAGTGCTACCCACGAGAAGGTACAGACACCCTTCCACCCCTGCCAGCTGCCACCACCCCATCACCTCTTGGCTTCCTGTCTAGATGTGCTCAGACCAAGGGAGTTGTCCCACCCCAGCTGGCTTGGCCAGTCATCGTCACAAGCCAATTCAGCACTCTCTCAGAAGAGCAGTCTGAGGATGTGGGGTTCCTGGGGTTTTGTCTCTTCAGTACACTCTCTCTGTTAGGTTAAGACTTATAGTTGGGGTAGGAGGAGGAGCCTCAGGTAAACCCCTCATCTGCCCCCAAAGACCCACGGCATTGAGCCAGCTTTGCAAACAAGAGTGTGCTCCTTCAGCTACAGGTTGCTGTTCCTTAGAGCACATGGGCCTCGTCAGAATGAATCACTACCACTTCCCATGTACAATTGATCTGAGGAAACTCTGTGAGGACGTGAGGTTCGCACCCCAAACCTGGCTGCTCTAGGACTCAGGTCACAGGGAACTGATCAGGTTGAAGTTGGCCTAGGTGTCCCCAAGCACAACCTGCCCTTAGCTGAAGCTTTGTGAATGCCCACTTTGTTTCCTTTGCCTCTCGGAACTATCCAGAGAGTCAAGCAACGTGAACACAGACCTCACAATCGGCATCCAGTTTGGCCGGGCGAGAACTGAGGTGTAGACCCAGGCTGCTCAGATTCCTCCCAGCAGCCTGGACTCCTAGAGGGACGGGCTTGCCTGCCTCTCTCCTTCCTGCAGATTCTAGCCCACCCTTCCATGCAATGATCTCAGGTGTGGGGAAAAAAAAAACACAGCACCCTCCAGAGGCTGGGACACGTCCACTTTCAGGCCAGGCTGAGACTTCTAGGCCAGTCTTGGAGACTCACCTCTACACCCTCCCTGGCCTAGCCACTGGCACACCGTACAAAGCGATCAAATTATATCGGGAATTCAGGGAAATAGAAGCCAGAATTTGGCCAGCCCTATTGGCGCCCTCTGTCAGTCTGCCTTAAACACAAATTCCAGATGCTGGCTGTGCTGCGGGTCCCCTATGGGAGAGGAGCCGCTGAAAGCTGCGGGCCTACACAGAGTTTCACGTCCTCGGAATGCCCCTTTTTTCCAATATATATTTATATTTAATATGTTTAATAAAATTATATTTAATATAAATAATAGATTCATATTTAATATAAATAAATATAACATATATTTAGTATAAATATATTTATAGTACAGTGAAGTGTCGAACACAATAGCACGCTCCCACTGTGAGAGTAGTAATAACGACATCATCAACTCTCTTTCAACACCACCCAGTCCCCCAAAAACCAGTAGCCGGGGCTTGCAGCTTTGCGACCTAGGTCCTGGGTGGCGACGCGGGGTCTGCAGGCTCCGTTCAGGACGCGGCACTGGGAAAGTCTGGAACGCTGGGATCGGGGGAGGGGTGCTGGGGCTGAGGCTCGAGGAGAACCTGCGGCTCCCGGGCCCGGACCGCTCTGGGTGCCCGGAGAGCCCCGCCCGCAGCGCTGGGGGCGGCGGGCTGCTCGGAGCCGCCTCCTCCGCAACTTTCTCAATCGCTCCGGGGTGAGAGAGGCGGAGTGAGGGGTGCGGTTAAAAGGAGCGGCGGCCGACAGGTGTCCAGGATCGCGGCGCTCTGCGCGCTCTCCCAACTCGCAACCAGCCGGCGGCGCTCCCGCCTACAGAGCGCAGCCTCCGCCGGGACCAGCGGCGACCAGCTCCGGTTCAGCCCGCGACCCACTCCGGACCAACCCAGGACCGGCCCGAGACCCACGCAGGACCTGCTCCTCCCAGGCAACAGCGCTTCGCCGCCTCTCGCCACCTAGCGCTGCGCGCTCCTCGGGACACAGGTGCGACAGCGGTGTGGCCCGCGCTTGATCGCGACGCCCCGCGGCGTCCGGAGCGCGAGTCTCGGCCAGTAGGGACGCGTGGGGTGCGAGGCGGGGTGCGGGTCGCCGGGTCTTGGGAAACCGAGGCCCGAACGCCTTGCGCCGTCCCCGCGGGTCATCACCACCGGCGGATAGGGACCCGAGTCGCGATCGCGTTTCTGCGGCTGGAGCGGCTGGCCGGGCTCCGGATTGGACCCGGCTGCTCCCGCCGCGCTCGCTGCAGCGCACAGGGCAGGAAGCGTCAGCACTGCCTGAGCCGGGAGGTCCCGCACCACGCGGGACTGGGAGGGACGCGGGGGCCAGGCCGTTCCAAGCGCGACTGCGACGTGTTGCCTGTGGTCCTTTGCTAGAATTTCCCACGAGGCCTCCTGGCCGCGTTGTCTGCCGCCATTGAAAGTTTTTAACCGAAAGCTTAGCAGGAAAACTCGGTTTCATTTGTTTAAGCTGGAGGCCTCCGTGGGAAGACACTGACCTTTACCACCTAAATCACTGGGGTGACGCGGGCAACCGCTCAAAACGAGCGTCCCGTAGCCGCTCCCGTGGGCTAGGGGACCCCAGTCTGCACTTGACGAGTGACTTTGATTGCTTCTCGTTTTTCTTAAATGCTTTTGAAGGGCTTGCGTTCAGGTGGGGCTCTGCAGCTGAAGGGAAGCGTCCCGACACAGACTCGCAGATGTGTGCTGCTGAGAAACGTGTCCATTGGGACTCTTGCATCAGCCCCACGGTGCTGCCTCACTGGAAGGGAGCATAAGCCTAAATGGGGCGAGTTGCCCAGGTCTCTGGGACTGTTCTGAGAAGCCCGGCACAGCCCTGGCTCCATTTACCCCCGAGTCCTTTGGAAACTATGGGCTAAATTAGTTAGATTGTGAGACGGGCGGAGGCTGAGGTGGGGACAGCATCTGGAGGTGTTCTGCCAGCTCCCCAAAGTACCCTTCAAAGCAAATAAGGGTCTCTCATATAAACATAATACAGATTATAAATAAGGAGAAGCTTAGCTTCTCCTTTTCAGGAGTTAAGGACTGATGGTCCCCCACACTCCGACAGTGCTCCAGGAAATCTGCAGGTGACCCAGGCCAAATGGGGACCTGCCTGTGACCTCCCTAGTCAGAGGCCAGGAGATCACCTCCTACACCACAGTTAAATATTGACAATTTCAGCCTGCTGTCTAGTACTGCAAGCCCCTTGTGAGATCAAATTTTAACCTCTCCCTTGTCTTGGAAGGGCCATTAAAACAAGCTGCTTCAACCAGATGTGGCCAGGGTCCACACCTATGACCCAGCAACTTGTTTTTCTCGCGGTGTTTTCTCCTGGTCTTGCTTGTTCAGTCCTGTCAACCTTTTCGCCTGATTTTATTTATTAATTTTTTTTAATTTGGTTTTGCTTTTTTTTTTTTCTCTTTTGGTGTTTTTTTTGTTGTTGTTTTTGCTTTTTGTTTGTTTGTTTTTTGAGGCAGGATCTTCCTCTGAAACCCAAGTTTTCCATAAGTTAGCATAATCCTCCTGCCTCAGCCTCCAGAGTTCTGGGATTATAGATGAGTACTAACCTCAGTTTCGTGGAGTTAGAAGCCAACCTGAGTACCATAGCAAACTCAAACTTAGCAAATACTTTAAAGTCATTTTTATAAACAAGTGAAGATTTTATTCTGAAGTTCATTTTTCTCCACTGATAATAACTGGGCTAGTCTGTGGGTGCTCTAGGCAGGCAAAGGTCCCGCTCACCCTTGGGTTCTGTATTTGGGTCGGGTGTGTGGATGTTCATTTCAGTCAGTGTCCTCGTCTCGACTCAGCAAGTAGACTGAAGAACAGAAGATCTAATTCCAATCTGATGGTTTTGTTAAACTTAGAACACTGTTGCTTTCAATACTTTTGCTTGTTGGGGACAGACTACATGGAGCAGTGAGACTGTTCAAAGAGCAACCAGCTTCCCTAAGGGACTCGGAACAGTCTGGGTATAAATGGGTCAGGGCTCAACCTGCTCAGCCACTGTTTCTTCCTGTAGTGTTTCCACTTTCCAAGCTGGCTAGGACACGATGTCTCACCAGTGTGTGTCAGCTCCTCTGACCAATGCACAGTTGAGTGGGTCCCATGAAGACCTTGGTGTTCTGCAGCAACAAGTGGGACTTTCACCCTGAGCCGACTTAGGGGAGACAGGATGCAACCTGCCTACAGCAAGAGGGCAGGAATGCTTTTAAGTAAGAGCAAGAGGGTTCATTACAGTTTGGAAGGGGTGGAAAGCAAGTGACTCATCAGGACAGTAGGAGGGTGGGATCTTGTCAGAAGAGGGGTTGATTGTGACAGGCAGGGTGGAGCCATGAATCAGTGAGGACAGCTCCTTCCCGGGGATGAAACAGAGCTCATTCCTTCATCCAGGACACAGTTAATACACCCCGTGTCACCCACGGCAGCTTTGCTTCTGAGCTGATGGTGAGTTCCTTGGACCAGTAGCTGGGGAGCCACTGAACTAAATTCCCTGCCATTTTTCATAATTATTTATTTTAGAACCACATCCAAGTTAAAACCAGAGCCCACAGTAGTGAAGCTCACTTACCACATGTATCAAAACAGATACGAACATTAGCCAAACAGTTCCAACCTGACAGCAGAGTCACCAACCTGCTTGTAAAAACCTAAGAGCAAAGACTTTTATTTTCACCCTAATCCTCTTACACAGAAGAGGAGAGCAAGGTTTGTAGTGGGATGTTAAGTTGAGGAATCTCAACTGTAGGTGTAACCATTAGGAATGACCTATCACCTTACCTTCCAAACCCATGCATATTCAAATATTTTAAAGAACTGGCTTCAGCACTGGGTCATGTGGAATTTCACAAATCCTGTCGTCTGAACTGGGCAGCTGTGCCCCTTGAGATGAAGTTGGTCCGAGCTCTTATCTATCACTGCAAAGCTCGGGGCTGCCAACACAGCCCGCTGAGTGACCTGTACAGAGATGGGAACCTGTGAGGTGAACTTAGCCACAACACAGTTTTGCCTTTAGACTAACAAGTACTTAGCTTTGGTGCACCCCTGTACCCACATCGTGGTTACGTGCTAAAGACTGGATGAATCCCTCAGTTGAACAAGTGTGTTTTAGAGAACTGTACTAGAGAGTACACAGAAACATGTTAGAGATAGTCTAGAAACTACACCCTTAACCCTATGGCAAAGTAAATTGTATTGTCACCACCCTAGAGGAGACTGTACCCAGAACAGAGCTAGGACCTGGCCAGACCAGTGAGTGATTCCTGTCTTGTGTTCATTTGTCGTTTGTAGTGCCACCTACCCAGAGGACAAGATGGATTGGGGCACGCTACAGAGTATCCTCGGGGGTGTCAACAAACACTCCACCAGCATCGGGAAAATCTGGCTGACCGTCCTGTTCATTTTCCGCATCATGATCCTCGTGGTGGCTGCCAAAGAAGTGTGGGGAGATGAGCAAGCCGATTTTATCTGCAACACGCTCCAGCCTGGCTGCAAGAACGTGTGCTACGACCACTACTTCCCCATCTCCCACATCCGACTCTGGGCCCTGCAGCTGATCTTCGTGTCCACGCCAGCCCTCCTGGTAGCCATGCATGTGGCATACAGGAGGCACGAAAAGAAACGCAAGTTCATGAAGGGAGAGATAAAGAATGAGTTTAAGGACATCGAAGAGATCAAAACCCAGAAGGTCCGTATCGAAGGGTCCCTGTGGTGGACCTACACCACCAGCATCTTCTTCCGGGTCATCTTCGAGGCTGTCTTCATGTACGTCTTCTACATCATGTACAATGGCTTCTTCATGCAGCGTCTGGTGAAGTGCAACGCCTGGCCTTGTCCCAACACAGTGGACTGCTTCATTTCCAGGCCCACGGAAAAGACCGTCTTCACCGTCTTCATGATCGCAGTGTCTGGGATTTGCATCCTGCTAAACATCACAGAATTGTGCTATTTGTTCATTAGGTATTGTTCCGGAAAGTCAAAAAGACAAGTTTAACGTATTCCCTGGCTGCTAGAGCAAAGATTGAGCAAAAGGATGAGGCAACCTGTGCTTAGCTGTCAGAGCTCAGCCACCAGCATTTCCCAAGACAAACTTAAATGCCACCATCTGAAGTCCCCATAGGCCTCACATGAAACTCCAGAGGCCTCCATGGGGCTCCCTTCCCCCAAAGCACCAAACAAAGGCCCAATTCTATGCCTGTATTAGTCGGTTCTAAAGTTAGTTCCACTGAGACCCCGTGCTGGTAGCGACTATTCTGGTAGGACACATTCACAGTTTAAACAAAGGATCTCACACTGTCTTCCTCAGAGGACAGGAGAGACGAGCCCAGTCCCAAGGAAGGTGCCCAGAAAGTTCACTGTGCCTCGCTTAAGGCTCCCTTCCCCAAGTTGCCCCCAGTTAATGGTAAAGAATCTCCACTCTGTCATTTGCTTTGATAGTTTAAGTCTGCAAAAGTGGACAAAGTTATTTAATGCTTCAAGCACTGTGTACTTTTTAAAAAAAAAAAAAAAACCTTAAAATAAGATAGGTTCTTTTGTTCTCAAAGTGATCTGGAAACCATTATACATTCCTCCTATTTCAAAGGTTCAGTTTGTGATATGAACGTGTAACCAGATCTCACAAGGTCTTTAAAACGTTGGTCTTTTTGGTTATGGGAAATCTGCGGTGTGGCTGAGAGGCCATCTACAGTATTTCTCTTCAGTGTGCTGAGTACAGGGCAGCAGCCTCACAACCTGTCTCACATGAGACAAACTGAAAGCTTTCCTGCTGGCTGCTGACCAGAAGAGGCCTCGCTTAAAAAGCCCAAGTGTCATTTTGCATAAGAGACAGATAGGATATGCCAACCACTGCCACCCACTCTGAGCCTAACCCAGCCCCTCCCTCCCTCCTGGCATTTGCCCACTCTAGCTGTGGGATGTGGCCGCCAGCATCAGGAGACACTGACTTCATGAGTTCGCTTGGGAATTTCACTGCCATGGTATAATTTAATGGTGCAGAAACAAAATGGGGTGGAGGCAAGGGGATAACTATTTTCAAAGAACCAATGGAACTTCTAGACTCTAAATTCTGTTGATTGAACTGAATTTTTCTACTTTGGAAGTCTGTTTGCTTCCCTCTTCGGCATTGGCTTTCTTAACTGGAAACAGAAGTATGGCTATCTGGAAAGACTAGGAACTAGAGTTTAGGTCACTATGTTACTCTTCTAGGGCAAGTTGAACCTTAGTATTGCCATTATGCTTAATGTGTTTCCCACAAGATGGCACTCAACAGCTCCAACAGGGGGCGTTCTTACTGCCAAGAATGGCATTGGGAAGACATTTTGTAACAATAAATAAGAGTTTGTGGTTTCATGCTTGTCACTGAAGTAATTTTGTAAACTCTTAAATGTCATTTATTAAAATATGATTATTTTGTATACTTTAAAATTAAATAAGGTTTTTAACAGAATGCCAAATTTTAACTTAATCAATAGTGAGTCTTTGCGGGGGAAGTTGCTGTGTTTTATCTTTGTTTTATCTTTATCACTGTGTCTCCCTGGCTGGCCTAGAACACAAAGATCCACCTGCCCTGACTCCCAAGTGCTGAGATTAAAGGTGCACACCTCCATGCCCAGCTATAGTAATTTGTGTATACAGACATTTCATAGTTTATAATTTGCAGTATCCCCTGAGTTACCTACCCACTGTCCTGGGGTCCTTCTGCCGAGTTACAGAAAACTCCCTGTGGCTTTTTTACGATGGAGGGGCAGAGCACTGCCGCTCACATCCTTTGCACCTCTCAGGGGTTCAGTGAGCCCCATCCTAAGGACTGTGAGGGGTGGGAGTTAGAACAGGGCCTGCAAAATGCTAAGCCCCAGGAACAGGATCAGTCCAGAAGAATCCAGTTTAAGAGGTGCTTGGGCTCAGTGTGTACTTGTTGCTAAAGCACCTGTCTCCCATGTATGAGGTCCCCAGATTGGAGCACCAGCATCGCAAAAATAAACAAATAACACTCTTCATGTTTAAAAATTAAAATAACATCCACGGTGAAGTCTGCAACATGAGAACCGTCCTCTGTGGAACTTTCCCAAGATGTCCTTTGTGTCTAAAAGAAGGTGGCCCATGAGACAGCTTTATGTCTCCTCGGTGTCTCCTCCCATGGGACATACCTTGTCAGGCAAGCCTGTCCCAGATAAGTAACTGCCTACAAGCAATTCTCCCTGGACTGCACCAACACTTCCATCCTTTAAGGTACAAGCTTCCTATCGGAGGTTGTCAAGGGCATTTTAAACATCAATAATTTTTTTTATGGGGACCATACACTCTTCACATAGCTTGAAAAGCATAAAACTCACCCCACTTCCAATCCAGTAATAGAACAGACGTGAAGAGTCTCCCACATGCCAGCGCGCCCTGTCCATACCCTGTTAAAAGAGCCCACAGCTTTTTAAATGGCTAGTTCCACTCCCACACGTTATGAAGATTATCACTCTGAAGGTATTAAAAGACGGGGCCTGAATAATTACAAACCACCAGCAACCACTTCATAGGACAGACGGAGGTCTGGCCGCAAGCTTGGAAATTAAAGCTCGACTTTTGAAATAGGATTATCCTGAAATACCAGTGGGCTATGCGTCTGTGAGGAGCAACACTCCACGTGAGTGTGCTCTGAAGGTCAGAGGCGGTGCCCCCAACCTGTGTGGCATTCGCTGACAAAGGAAACATGGTGCCATCTGCTGAGGGACAGGCCCCTGCTACAAGTGGGGCAGCGGGGTTCTGTTGGTTTCCTGGGCCTAAGCTGCCTCAGGTGGCAGGGTTTCTAAGAAGATGACCCACCAGAGAGCAGCTTGCCCATGCTGAGAAGATCACAGCCTGTAGAAAGGAGCTCCCTGCTTCCCCTGGCCTCAGTTTCCTCACCTCATAGTGGGCTTCTCAAATCCTTCCCAAGCCTGGGGAAATCAATGGGGTGATTTACATAGACGCTGTCCTCCCCCTAGGACAGGAGTGTGAGATTACAGTCGTCTCTCCCACTCAATAGACCCCGAGGGAGATGGTGAGTGATGTCTTAGGAATGTCTCCAGCAAAGCTCAATTAGCTGGGTGCTTGGGAAAGTGCACGTTGACACTGAAAAGAAGCATGGCATGGTGGCCTCAGAGACCAGCCACACCAGGAGGGGAGGCGGGCTGGGTGCACACACCGTAGCAGAGACAAGTGACAGCTGTGTCGCTCATAACTCAAGAAAACCAATGGCAGGAGAGCAAGCAGCTTGGTGCCAAAATGCCTCACACGACCTACCACGCATGAGCAGTGGGTTCCAGTTCCAGTCTTGGATAAAGTAAATAGGAACGGTGGGCGGAGGTGCAGGCCTGTGATCTCAACACCAAGGAGGCGAAGCCGGGAGAATCTGAAGTTCAAGGTCATCCTCAGTGATGCTCTTCGTTCAAAGCCAGCCTGCACTTCATGAGACTCTGACTCAAAATAGCAAATAATAAATAAATAAATGGCTAAATAAATACAAGTAAGTGACTAGAACGGAGAATCAGTACTGACGGCAACAAAGACTGTTACAAGTTTGTCCAGTCAGGGTCTCTCTCTGTACTACCTGACAAGCAGAGGCCAAGTCTCGCCCCTTTCATCTTCACGGTAACATAAAAAGCCACGGGCCTTCACCTTTATTCCCGTGGAGGGGCATGGTGGGGTGTCAAGAAGGCGCAGCTCAGGCCACTGTCGAGATCAAAGGCTAGTAAGTGTAGCCCAAGCTCATGGAGGTTATGTGGACTGACCTTCTGGAATTCCTCTAGCATACTTCCCTCCCACACCTAACCCTAACTCCACAGCCCCCCACCCACATCTTTTGCAATCCTGCTGGAGTCCATGGTGTAACCACAACCTTACAAGATTTCAAAGTCCATTCCTTCCATCCTCATGGGGTTTTTTTCATCAACTGATATTTACTGAGCACCAACCAAGTACCAGACACTATTAGTCCCTGGGACTGAAGCTGATTTTTAAAAAAGTTGAGCCTTTATACTGAAGGAGGCTGGATATCAGCAAATCCCAAGATTCTCTCTGCTGTGGGCCAGCGCCACAGCAAAAAGAGAGAGCAGGGAGTGCCAGGCATCAGGGAATGGTACCCATACCTGTTAGTGTGGATTGGTCACTTGATGTGGGATACCATTTTGTATATGTTGCTTTTATTGGTTACTGAATGAAGCTGCTTTGGCCTATGGCAGGGCAGAACATAGGCAGGCTGGAAGAGATATATAGAGTAGGCAGAGTCAAAGAGACACCATGTAGCTGCCAAAGGAGAAGGATATACCGGAACCTTACTGGTAGGCTACAGCTTCATACACAGAATAATAGAAATGGGTTAATTTAAGATGTAAGAGTTAGTTAATAAGAAGCCTGAGCTAATAGGCCAAACAGTATTTGTAATTAATATAGTTTTATGTGATTATTCAGGTCTGGGCAGTCGGAAACAAATGAGCAGTCTCTGTTTACAAGTGGTGCCATGTGGGGCAACTACCTCTGCATAAAACCTGAGAGAGCTTGAGAAGGAATTCTAGACACAAAAGAACAGAGTTAAGCACGGTTTCTTGGTAGCAGCATTTTCTCGGGTGGACTCTGTTCGCTAGAGGCAAGCAGAGCCACAATTCCTTTAAGAGAAGACTTTCTGACTCAGCATTAGCAGCAAAAACTGTGTGGTTTCTTTAAGAGCCACCTTCCTGGTTCATGCTGGTGCAGTTACAGAGCATTTATACGGGGTTTCTAAGCAGAATGCTACTAGTTACTTAATGGCAACATAGACCCGTGTGTCCCTGAAACTGGGGCAGTGAGCGTGGCTCACAGAGCTGGTGGTGAGCATACCTCCACCATGTTGGACTGGGCAGGGTCAGAAGGCAAAGCAGCCTTGTTCCCACACATACAGCTTAGCATTTTAAGAAGCGCTCCTGGTCAGAAAATGATTACAGATGCGCGATAAAGACAGATTCAGACAAAAATAAACCTCTGAACAGGTCACAGTGTGTTTAAAAAATGTATGTAGGCTTGGGAGAGAAGAGGGAAAAGAGTATAGATAGTTAGAAAAAGAAGTACAGGCAGTTATAGATTAAAGGAGTAAAGATAATAAAAGGAATAGTAAAAAGAGGAAACAAATGAGCAGTCTCCGCTTACAGTCACTCTTGGAAGTAACCTAGTGGAAACAGTAACAAGGAACCATCTGCCTCAGGGCAGGGAGACAAAAAGGCTGGGAGTGGATTCTAGGAATCAGAGGGATGAAAGAAGACGGTGGGGCCAAAAATAGAGCTGACCTGTCCACATGAGAAGAAGCCAGCCACCAGGAGGATATATGACCCTGAGCCTCTTCCATGCTGCGCCTGTATCGGCTCCTTGCCATGCCTGCTCTGTATCCAGCCTTGCTCTGCCCTCCCTTGGAGCAGATCTATTTTCCCCTCGAGCACTCTGCAGAGAGCTGAGGATAGATCCAAGTTCAGCCCAGACTTGATTCCTTGGGTTGGATCATTCTCATTCAACATCAGGCAATTGCTGTATCGGGCCCTAGTAAGT